CCCCAAAACCCCAAAACCCCAAAACCCCTAAAAAGCTTTGATAAATTGGACAATATTATAATAAATGATTAAAGTCAGGCAACTCAGAGAGGGCAAGATTAGAACTAATGAAGTGTCTCTTAATACTTGTGTTTTGAACTCTATTGATCAAAAATACGAGAGTTATCTTCAGAGCGGAGAGGAGTTCATCTTCTTCAAACCTGCTCATAGGTTTGATCAAACAATATAAAGATATATAAAGGAGTAACAGCAGGCTGATATACAGAAACTATTATCAACAAGGAAGATAGCAGGGTCGAGGATTTCTATGAAGCAGCATTCTGAGTTAGAGATAAGAAGCCCCTTGAGGTGTTGATGGATAAGGGCAAGCTTGCCAGAGTTTGTAGATTCTCCATGACTTCGAATGTTGAAAAAAGCTGATCTGTGAGTGGATTTTTGAGGGTTTTAAGGGGATGGAGAGGAGGTGTGATTGGCTTTAGGTACATCACATGAAGATTGAGTCTAGATAGAAAGACTATGGGGTTAGGAAATTATTGGGAGAATGGGAACTAGAGCAAACCAGAATCTTCATATATAGATATACCATATTCTACCAGGTCTTTGCAAGTTGATCTCAGGAAGCTTGGGACAACTGAATTTGAACAATTTCAGAATTTCAAGGAAATGCCTCCAAAGACTCTTGACTGCTGCGTGTTGCTTAGATACTATCAATCTTAGATTTTGTAACCTTGAATCAGAAGGATTTCAGTTACCTAAGACTGTTAAATGGAACACTAGTTATCTTAGCTTCGAAAACTGTGTTAGATACGATGATCCTTCGTCAGGTATATGTGAACAATTGATCCAGCTTCTGCAGCCTATTGCTCACAGTCACTTGGGAGTCTCAGTCAAGAAGATCGTGCTACAGAAATGAAACATGACAAAAGGAGAGTTCAAGAGTTTAAACAAGAAAATTGGATTGAAGGGCATGAGTATTCAAGGAAGGAAACTCGAGTATGGCTGGGGCTGGAACCTTGAACTTTAACTACATTCAACCATATATTTAAAAGTAGGGGTTTTGGGGTTTTGGGGTTTTGGGGTTTTGGGG